GGACCTAACCAGACTCTTAAGGATTACTTCACACCCACTGCATATACATCACCATCATGCATCCAGTTACTTGATACCACTACTGCTCATTATGAGATTAAACACTATCCAAATGCTCCCATCATTCCATGGACTAGCTCATGATGACCCTTATAAACATCTGCATGAATTTCTAGAAATTTACTCTACAGTGAGGATCCAGAATTTCACTAATGAGGCCCTAATATTGCTATTGTTCCCATTTCATTAAAGGACAAAAACACTGGCTAAACTCCTTACCTACTAATTCTATCACAACTTGGGACCAATTACAGCAAAAGTTTTTGGAGAAGTACTTTCTCATTGGTAAGACTAACCAACTTAGGCAAGCCATCACCAATTTTGCTTAAATCGATGGCGAGTAATTTCATGAGACATGGGAAAAACTTCGTAACCTTCTCCAATAGTGTCCCCACTACCAAGTGCCTGATTGATAACTTGTTCAAACCTTTTACTATGGCTTAACTGAGCCTCACCGCCAAATGGTAGATTCTTCTTGTGGTGGGACATTCATGTCCAAGGTATGGCAATTATTTGAGAACTTAAGTGATAATTCCCTCTACCATGCCTCCGCAGCTCGGCAAGTCCGGCAACCGGTAGTTGGAACCCCAAAAACCAAGGGCATTTATGTGGTAAGGCAAAATCTACTGTTAGCCCAACAAGTAGTGGTATTGTCCCACAAAATGGACCAATTATTAGCTACGGGTTATGCCCCTACACAGTAAGATTAGCCTCAATTTCATGAGGCATGTGCTATTTGGGTGAGTCCTGTTCATGACTTGAGTGAGTGCCCTTCGGCATCACAATTCCGAAATTAGTCCAAGAGCATGTGAATACGGCTTAAGGATTCTCCAACTCAAGTAATGATCCATATTCTAACATATACAATCCGGGATGGAGAAATCACTCTAATTTTTCATGGAGACCTCCTTCATAAGGCACTTCTTACAATCCTCCACCACCAAGGTAGAATTTTAATAATTTTGTCAACTAATCTTTCTACCGACCACCACAACCTTACCAACCCCCACAACCTTATCGGCAACCATAACCCCCGCTTGTTCCTCAAGGCAATTCTGCATTTGAGACTCAGGTGTTAGAAGTTCTTCAGAACATAAGGGGTTAGCACCAGTAGTTCACTCCCGTACTCACTCCATTGCCATGCTAGAGGCCCAACTGGGTCAAATGGCTAACAATATAAATAGGAGAGAGGAGGGAAAATTACCGAGTCAAACTGTGGTCAACCTTAAGGGTCAATATGGGGCAAAGGGGTCGGGTGGTAATGGAAAACACCATGAGCAGATGCAAGGGGTGATTACTTTGAGGAGTGAGAGGGTGTTAGAGCCTCAGCCAGTTGCGTCTGATGCAACTAAGGCTAAGAAGGGTGACCATGGTGGTATACCAAATGAGAGCAAGGGTGAGGGAGAAACACCAAAAGGGAATGACTTAGTCCCTAGCACTTCACATGAGTCTAAGGCACCATATGTGCCTAAGGCACCCTTTCCCCAATGCCTTAATACACTGTCCCTTTTTAATAAGAAGGCGACATCCATGGAACTGATGATGGAGGTCTTTAAACAGGTTAAAATCAACCTCCCCCTGTTGGAGGCGATTAAGCAAGTACCCTCCTATGCCAAATTTTTGAAGGACCTTTGTATGCAAAAGCTTAAATTTAGGACACATGTGTCCTAAAAGGTCATATTCACGGAGCAAGTAAGCTTCATTTTATTGAGTGACACACCCCCTAAGCTTAAAGACCCAGGCGCCCCAACCATTGCATACATTAGAGGGGATCATTTTATTGATAGGGTCTTGTTAGATTTAGGGGCTAGTGTCAATTTGTTGTCGTACTCTGTGTATGAAGAATTTGGGCTTGGCGAGTTTAAGCCCACTATTGTTACTCTCCAGTTGGCTGACTAGTCCCTCAAAATGCCACATGGCATGATTGAGGATGTGCTAGTGAAGGTCGATTGGTTTTATTTTTCTGTTGATTTTTTGGTTTTAGATATGGAACCGATAGCTAGCTCTAGGAAACAAATCCTGGTGATCTTAGGTCGACCTTTATTGGCTACGACCAATGCATGCATAAATTGTCATACATAGGTTATAAATGTTTCATTTGGAAATATGCAAGTGAAACTCAATTTTTTCAAAGCATCCCAACAACCCCATGAAAGAGAGGAGTGTTTGTATGTGGATATTGTGAATGGGATTGTGGAGGAGGCTTTACCCTCCATTTTTGTAGAGAACCCTTTAGAGGCTTGTTTAGCTTATTTTAGGTTTGAAAATTTTGATATTGATGGGTCAGTGGCGGAGGTGAATGCCTTACTTAATTCTTTTTCTACACCGGATTTTCCTCTATAGAAAGCTTGGTTTGAGTCCCTTCCCCCTCTGTCTAAAGAGCTTGCCATACCATCCCTAATCACACCACCTACACTTGAGTTGAAGCCATTCCCGGCCACACTCAAGTATGCATTTTTAGGGCCAAAGGATACTTTACTTGTCATCATTGCATTTGACTTAACTGCAGAGCAGGAAAGTCAATTAATGAGTGTTCTTGTGGCACATCGGAGTGCTATAAGATGGTCGGTGGCTGATTTGCAAGGGATAGATCCCTCTGTGTGCATGCATTATATACATCTAGAGGAGGACACCAAACTTTCTCGTGAAATGCAACGGAGGTTTAATCCTAATATGAAAGAAGTGGTGAAAAATGAGGTGTTAAAATTGTTAGATATGAGTATTATATACCCCATCTCGGATAGCAAGTGGGTGAGTCCCACACAAGTGGTGCCCAAGAAATCGGGCATCACTGTTGTCGAGAATAAGTGAGGAGAGTTAGTCCCCACACGAACCACTGCTAGGTGGTGAGTGTGCATTGATTATAGGAGACTGAATTCCATGACTAGGAAGGATCATTTTCCATTACCTTTTATTGATCAGATCTTGGAGCGGTTAGCAGGGCAGAGCTACTATTGTATCCTTTATGGCTATTCTAGTTACAATCAAGTTCCTGTGTATTCAGATGACCAAGAAAAGACCACCTTCACATGTCATTTTGGCACTTTTGCCTATCGCCAAATGCCCTTTGGGCTTTGCAATGCACTAGCGATCTTTCAACGGTGTATGATGGCTATCTTTTTCTGACGTGGTGAAGAAATTCTTAGAGGTCTTCATGGATGACTTCTCCGTGTTAAGGCTGTTTGTTGAGGAATGTCTCCAGAACTTAACTAAAGTGCTTACTCAATGTGTGGAGACAAACCTAGTTTTGAGTCAGGAGAAAATCCATTTTATGGTTCACGAGGTTATAGTGTTGGGACACATTGCGTCTCCTCGAGGTATAAAGGTTGACAAAGCTAAGGTTGACTTCATTGTAGGCCTTCCTCTACCCACTTCTGTGCATCAAGTCCGATCTTTTTTGGGGCATGCAAGTTTTTACCGTAGGTTCATCAAAGACTTTAGTAAAATATCCCGTCCTTTATGTAGTTCACTTGCTAAGGACGTACCCTTTATCTTTGATGATTCATGTTTGAAAGCATTTAAAACACTTCAAGCGGCCCTTTTTACTGCCCCTATCATGCAATCTCCTGAGTGGTCTCTTCCTTTCAAGATCATGTGTGATGCATCTAATTATGCCTTCGGCGCCGTCTTAGGCCAAATGGTGAATAAAGTGCCCTATGTTATATCCTATGCTAGTCATACTCTGTCTGATGCTCAATTAAACACTACCACTGAGAAAGAGTTACTAGCTATTGTGTTTGCACTTGATAAGTTTCGGTCCTACCTTCTAGGGTCTAAAGTCATTGTGTTCACTAACCACGCTGCTTTGTGGTACTTACTGTCCAAAAAAGAGACCAAACCTAGGTTGATTAGGTGGATTCTACTCCTTCAGGAGTTTCACCTAGAAATCCGGGATAAGAAGGGATCCGAGAATGTAGTTACGGATCATTTATCCCAAATCTTTATTGAGCACACGAGTGATCCCTTAGCCTTGCATGACTTGTTTCCGGACGAGCAACTTCTTACGATATCACAAGTGACCCTCCCGTGGTTTGCTCACATAGTGAATTACTTGGCGGTTGGTCAAATTCCGAAAACTTGGTCTAAGTAAAACAAAGACCGATTTTTCTTACAAGTCAAGCACTATTTCTAGAAAAACCAAAAATTGTTCAAGTATTGTCCCGGATCAAGTGATTCGGCGTTGTGTGCCTGAGAGTGAAATTCATAGCATTCTCACCTTTTGTCACTCTCATGCATGTGGAGGCCATTTTAGTGGGCAGAAAACGGTCGCCAAGGTTTTACAATGTGGGTTCTACTAGCCCTCTATCTCCAAAGATGCCCATAATTTCTGTAGAGCTTGTGAGCGTTGTCAACGCATGGGCTCTATGTCACGACAAGATATGATGCCAATGACCCCTATTTTGATCATTGAGATTTTTGATGTTTGGGGCATCGACTTCATGAGTCCCTTTCCACCATCTTTTGGATTTGAATACATTTTGGTGGCTATGGACTATGTCTCTAAGTGGGTTGAGGCAGTGGCCACCAGAACGAATGACCACAAAGTTGTGGTTAAATTCCTCTATGAAACCATTTTTTGTCATTTTGGGTTCTCACGTGCCATAATTAGTGACGGTGGCAAACATTTTTGCAACCGATTCTTCGAGGCATTAGTGCGCAAGTACATGATCACTCACAAAGTTAGCACTCCCTATCATCCCCAGATTAGTGGTCAAGTAGAGGTTTCTAATAGGTAGGTTAAAAACATCCTCGAGAAAACTGTAAGGCCCGATAGGAAATATCGGTCCACTAGGTTGGTCGATGCACTTTGGGCCTATCGCACTGCATATAAGACACCCATTGGGATGTCTCCATATAGGATTGTGTTCGGGAAACCGTGCCATCTCCCTGTTGAGCTAGAACACTAAGCTTTGTGGGCCATTAAGAAGTTCAATTTTGATATGGCTAAAGTCGGTGACCATCGAAAACTCCAACTTAATGAGTTAGAAGAGCTCCACAATGATGCATATGAGAGCTCTAAAATTTACAAGGCTAGAACTAAGGCATTTTATGATAAACATATTTCTCGCAAGTCCTTCGAGCCTCACCAAAAAGTGTGGTTGTTTAATGCCAAATTCCAGTTGTTCTCGAGTAAACTCTGGTCTCGGTGGGATGACCCATATGAGGTTATTGAAGTCTTTCTACATGGGGCGGTTGATATTAAAAATCCACAAGATGGTATGGCCTTTAAGGTCAATGGCCAACGATTGAAACATTATGTGGATGGTATTGAGAAAGGGGAGATGATTGAGGTTAACCACTTGACGGACCCAATATATCTTCCATAGTACTTGCTTTGAGTCTAGGAGACTTTAAATCCTCTAAAGGAGTAATTCCTTTGGTGTATATTGTGCCCGAATGGTATCGGACAGTCTGGTATAGCCACCTAACTGTGTTTGTAGTGAGTTCCTAGGAGACCAACTTAGATGGTGGAAACTAGAGTTCAAATGGCAAAGCCTAGAATCAAAGGTTTGGAATTTTTTAGACTAAAGTATGGTTTAAATACCCAGGGATGTGGAGATTACTTCAAAATCACCCCAACTTGAACTCTATATGGCAGCCCCATAGGTCGAGTTAGCTTTATGCACCTCAATTCTGGATACCGAATCAACCTAGTCTGTCACCCTGTTGGAGAACAGGGAAAGTTACAAACATTGTTAGGGAGAAAAATAGTACTGGTGGTTTTTGCGTAAAAATTTACCTTTGTTGAGCATTTAGATGTTTTCGAAGTGCCATTTTTATTCCATATGTGCATTGAAGGTAGAAATGGTTTAAATTTTTATTTGGGTTGTAATTGGGTTTGTAAACAAAAAAAAAAAAAGCGGCAGACCGCAGGTGCAGCCTAAATGGGCTCACTAACGGAGCCTCAAAAAATGGAGCGCACAAGCGGAAAGGCTAGTCACACAAGCGGCCTAGGCCCAAAAGTATTCTACGTAAGCGCCACTGGAGCGGCCCAATTTTGCCATTGGAGCGACCCAAAAATAAGCGCTCATGCAACCCAATGGGAGCACGAACGACGTATCCAAAAAAAATTAAAAAAAATTTGGAACGCACGAGCGGAGGCCCAGGCCGCACAAGCAGCCCAAGCCTAAATGGACATTGTGCAAGCGCTGCTGGAGCGGCCCATAATTCACCGCACGTGGAGTTATTTCAAAAAAAAAAAAACTTTTATTGTTATTTTATTATTTTCTTTTTTTTCATCAAAAAATAAAAATAAAAATAAAAAATTGTGCAGATTGTTTTTTATTTTTATTATTATTTACTTATTTTATATTTCTTCAAAAAAAAAAAAATTCCTTTAAGCCAAACCCTAGACCCTCTTTTGACTCTCACTCTTCCCAGCACACTCTCTCTACCTTATCATCTTCTTTGCTCTCTCTCTTTTTTTACCTCACAAACCCATCAAACCACGCCATCATCTAACCCCACCATTACCAACCCTTAACCCTCAACCTTCACCCCACCTTTTTCTAAAAACCACCTTCCCACCAGAGCATCACCATCCTTTCCGACTGGTAACCTTCCGGCGGCCATTTTTTCCGGCGGATCTACATCTTCTCTTCTTCATTTCTTTTCTCCCTATTTTTTTTTAAGGTAATCACCCTCTTTTTTGTTTAAATTTCTTAGTTTTCACTTGTAATATTAGTACATTGGTAGTTTAATTGTTATTTTGAGCTTTGTTCATCATCCTTATACCTATCATCATCATCCTCAAAAAAAAAAAAAAAAATTGTGTTGGTACCAGAAACCGACCACCGCACATGTGGCCATCTTTGGCGCACGTGCGGCTGGCACTAACATCCCAAAGAAATAAATAAATGAATAAAATCTGGGCATCGAAGAAACTGACGACCGCACGTGCAACCATCTCCAGTGCACATGCGGCCAAAAAAACAAAACAAAAACAAACAAAATTTCACCAATAATAATAATAATAATTTAGCTTGTTGTAACCTATTTTTTTATAATATAGTTATGTAGTTTAATTGTTTAGTTAGTGATTCTTGTTAGTTTAATTAGTTAGTGGATTGTTTTTATTTTTGTTTTAATTGTTTAGTTAGTGATTTAGTTTTATTTTTATTTAGTGATTTAATTGTTTAGTAGTTTAGTTTTTATTTTTATTTTCTGTATTTTTAATTTTATTTTCTTTTATTTTTCTTCTCCTTTTCTCTACTAACTAATTTATTGATTTATTCCTTGCATTTCATATTTGCATTTGTCCATTTTCTTTATGCTAATTTAGTGTAAGTTAATTTAGGGTAGTATTAAAAAAAAATTGAAATAAAAGAAATCCGGTGGTGTAATGGCAATGAGGTTTTGAGTGATTTGTGCATGCATGTGCTATTTGATGAGTGCTGATATAATAGTTCCACGTTTTGGGTAGTATTGGCTGTATTAGTTTATGCAGATATGTTTACATCATCCCGCTGAGCACCCAAACAGCCTCGGAATGCTAACATCACTGCTAGGAATATACCAATCGACACTTGGGCCAACAAACCAATTGCCTGTGACACACCTTTTGATGTGGACTTCTTCCACCGCCATCAACCCACTGCGTGGAGTGTCTGACAACTTGAAGACCGGGACGTCCTGGGCGTCTGCACATTCACTAAACTAGCGCATTGTGCGAGTCTTTTATCAAAACATGTACACCAGTGACGAGGCCTCGGGAGTTCTTTTGTCCATTGTTGACGAGGTGGAGTTGGTGGTCACACCAGTTTCCATTGCCGAGGTTCTCCACTATTCCATGGACACTATCAATGAAGAGCAGCTCCCGGTGTTCACTCCGGAACTCATAGTCCCAGCATTGGTGACTGAATTTTATGAGAGGCGACATGATGATGACAACTGAACTAGCATCTAGCGGGCTAACTTACCGCGTCGCCTCCTCTTCCTTGATGTGGTTCTAAAAAAGAATGCCATCCCTCTAGGCCACAAGGAAGAGCGACGATCGGACTTCCTTCCTTTATGCCTTGCACCAATTTGACTTCGGGTTTTGGGTCAACATCCTTATTTTGATCTTCAAGCTGATGTTTCGTATCCTTAATGAAGTCAAGTTACGCAACACCTAAGGCGGTTCTACATGGGCCCTCCCTTTCGCCAACCTCATCACTACACTCATAAAAGGCCAAGGGACATACCCACTCGAACCCAATGAGATTTAGCTTCTGCCGCCACTGTTTTATAGTAAAACCCAATGGCGCCAAACCACTGCTCTCCTACTGCCTCCACTACTCATTTCCAATGCCCCGACTAATCCTAATGATGTTTCGGTAGAGCCCGCCATCGCGCTAGTGCCCCTGCCATTCCATATGACACGAGCGCAATATCAGGCTCTTTTGGATAATCTAGCCGTTATTTAGCAATCTGTGGCTGATCTCCGGGCCGACTATCACACATATTGGGATTACTTGCAGACGGCACTTGATGGGTATCAGCAGTCAGTTGCATCTCTGCAAATTGACTTTTACGCATGCCGAGAGTCGAGCCAGCAGTAGTTTGATCAGCTTGGTGTTAGGGGTCATGGTGAGGCATTCGAGACTCAGACGCTGATGCATGCCCTATTTGAGCATCAATTTCCACTACCGTTGGATCCAAATCAGTGATATCCATTCTATTTTCTTTATTTCATTTGTTTATTTTTTTTTGTTTTGTTTTATTTTATTTTTCTTTTCCTTTTACACTGTATAGTCAAAAAAGAAAAAAGTGTATGTGTGCGTGTGTTTGGTTCGTCCTTGCCTCGCTGGATGTGTGCCTACGCCGTCTGGTAAGATCCTCTCTCTCTCATTTTACTATTTACTTTACCGTTGCTTACATTGAAGACAATGTTATATTCCAGTTAGGGGGTGAGGGTATTAAAAATAATTCATATTTGTACTTGCTGCACTTGATGTTCACTTTGTGCCAATATGGTAGTGATATAAGCATATATTAATTGGGGAACGTAGTGGACTTGTATGAAAAGGGTTTATCGGGTAAATACTCGCATGTGATGTTTACACTAGGAGAGTTGTTTGTGTTTGTGGTATTAGTACACTTGTCATGAGTATGCCTTGATTAACATGAACACACTTTCATAGCGGTGACTTCTCTATTCTAATCTCTGGTGTACATCATTGATAATTGCTAGTGTTATAGAAAAGAATAAATGAGCAGCCTTTATTCTTATTATAAAAAAAAAATTGACTTGTTTAGGTTCGCAGCCTCTTTAACTCAAGTTATTAAGTCCGTGGGAGTGTCTTTATACCCAGTGCCCTAAAACCGCATGGTTTGGAAGTCAATGACCCAATACATGGGTTAATTAGAAAGCTTAAGGGACCTAGACATTGCATAGTTAAGAAAAAACAAAAAATAAATAAAGACTTGTTCGGGTTCATAGCCTTTTCAGCTCGAGTTATTAAGCCCATAGGAGTGTCTTCACACCTAGTGTCCTAAAACCGTCTGATTTGGGAGTCATTGGCCCAATACTTGTTACATGAGTTGATTAGAAAGCTTAATGGATCAAGACATTGCACAATCTTTCACCAAAAAAAAAATGATAAGAATCTTGATTGCAAAAGTTTAGTTTTTCTGTATATGTTGGGTGTTATTGTGAGTTGCACTGGCCTATTATAGTGGACAGTTAACTAGTTATGGGCAATGCACTTTACACCAAGGGCACTGATAATATGTTTACTAGCATTCACAAGTACAGGGGATTTAACTTTTGTATTAACTGAATTGTGGTCTTTGCTCAATAGATTCCTTCATGCTTGTCCACTATGCCTTCAATGACTCATCATGTCTTAATATCACACTCTAGTAGCATATAAGTTGATTGTTAGGTGGAGTGGTGTGGTTAATTAATGTTGAGCAGATATGAATATGTTGATGTTTGTGGGTATCATTTTTGGAACCCTTATGAGACTATACTCGTCCACTTAGGGTAACCTTTTGGTTTAAAGGCTTGTTGCATATGCTAAATGCAATCGTAATCCCTACAAAAGTGGCTTAGAGCATTTTCTTTTTCTTATTTCTATTGTTTTGCTCAAAGACTAGCAAAATGTAATTTGGGGGATGTGATGTAGGCTGAAAGGTACCACATTGAAGTTGCTTAAATTACATTTATAGTCTTTCAATTTTGTTTATTTGGTGGAGATGATGCGTTTTGTGGATTTTGGAGGAAATACGCAAATTCAAGGGCGCAGAAGTAGATTCTCCATGCAAGAAGCAAAAAATCTGAGCCAGCTACCTCACCGCACGTGCGGCCCACCTAGGGTTGCGTGCATAAAAATTTTGGGAATTT